TTTTGTCAAAGATGGTCAAATTGACCAAATTGGACCAAGGTGTAGTTGAACAAAATGAAATTGGGAATATTTTAGATTTATTGGGATTTTTTAGGAATTTTTGGAATTTTTGGATTTTGGGTCATGGAGGGGTATCTTGGTAATTTGGCCATTTTTGGAAATTTTGACAAATTTGGATGTATTCAAGGTGTTTGAAATGGGTTTTGATCAATTTTGGGTATTTTGGAAAAATTTGAGAATATTAGCCAAATTTGGGTCCCAAGGGCAGTTAGGTAATTTGGAGGTGCCTCGGGGCGAAAGACCAAGTTAGGCATTTCACATAGAATTGGATAGATATCCGTTCTAAATGAACCATGGATTAATGTATTGTGAAGATATGGTGTACCCTAGTTTCAAGTCAACACCCAGGGTCGACCCTAAAGCCAAGTAATCCTATAGGGACTCTTCTTGAATTCTCTTCTAATGATCTTATCTACTAAATGTTAGAGGTTAAGATCAATATGTGGAATTTCAAGTTGAGTAAAAAGAAGAGTTTTGAATTTCTAATGGTGGGGGTACCTTTTCTAATTTTCTAAGACTAATCAATAGGAAAGTCCTATGGCTAGACCTAGGCTACTAAAGAAGTTTTCTAGACCTCAACCAAAAGTGAGGTCAACAGAACACCTAGTGAATACTCTGACATATGGGAAAGAACCTATCAAAGTTGATGAGATTACTGTAGCATTGTTGGCTTACAACCAGCAGAAGGAGAATGCAGAGGAAAGCTCTCATGGAGATAGTTTATATGTTAAGGGTAATCAGAATCGACAAAGGAAGGAGGAGAAGGAGAGCTCTGGAAGGCGAAATTCCAAAGGAAAAAAGATGATTCATTGCTACAAGTGAAAGGAGTCAGGTCATATGAAGAGAGATTGTTCAAAGCTTAAGAAGCAGACTGGGGAGAAAAGGTGATGCATCATCCAAGTCTGTAAAATGTGGTGCAGAGTAACAATTCAGATTGCAGTGATGGTGATATGCTTTCAATTTCAACTCAGTGATGCATGGATTCTTGATTCATGATGCTCTTATCACATAACACCTAACAGGGAGTGTTTACTTCATACACGTTAATTAATTCTAGCTCAGTCTATTTAGGCGATGATAGATGTTGCAATATTATTGGTATTAGGAAAGTCAAAACTAAGATGTATGATGAAATTGTTAGAACATTATGTGAGGTCAGACATATTCAAGATTTGAAGAAGAATTTAATTTTCTTGCGTATTTTACATAGAAATTGTTTTATTCCTAAGACAGATGGAAGTAAGTAGACCATCATAATTGTTAAAGATGCACTGACTGTGATGAAATAAAAGTTAACTGCAAATAATATCTATAAACTGTTGGGGAGTACAACTGTAGGTGAAGTTCACTCTATTGGATCATACGATGAAAATGCAGCAGATATGTTGACCAAGCTAGGTTTTATCAACAAGTTCTTGCATCGCTTGAGCTTGTTGAATGTTTGCAATTGTTAGACGGCATGGTGGCCCAACCCACATTGGTGCATAAGAAACTCCATAATATATTTCTTCTAAGGGGCTGTATATTCGCCAAGGTGTAGACTCATATACCATAAATGGGATAGATGTTGGACTGGAGTGGAGCGGAAGGATCTGTCCAATCGAGGGAGTTTCATTATGTTGGTTTGGGGCGCGGGGGCAACACCCCGCGGTTTGGTACAGGAGTAATTTAAATAATTACATATTGTACTATAGGGTCAAATATATGTCCTGTTTGTAACCCTAGAAGAGATTCTGATATTCTGAATCTTGTATTATGTATTCTTTTCTGAATATTGAAAAGAGTGTCGCTGCTATGCTCCCGAGGACGTAGGCATCTTTGTCGAACCTCGTAAATCTCTGTGTGTTCTTCTGAATTTGTGTCGATTCCTGTTTTTCTTCGCCCTAATTTCTCAACACCCTTATTCTGGATGAGGTTTTCTAGTGATAGCATTGCTAGTGATGCAAGTTCTATACGTGACAGTGAACTGTAAATTTCTGAAGCCACTAGCTTAGTTTGGGATGGTTCTGTTACTTCTTCTGATGACGTTGTATTTCCTAGTACCATGAAAGCTTCAAGTAACGCAGAAACATAGTTTGCAAAGGATATGCAGATTTTTCTTCCATGTACCAAGCTCAGCACCATCAGCCTGCTAGTTCATCTCCTGGACGTCCGATGCCACTGGGTGGGTGCATGCATCACAACCTACTCCATTATTTCTAAGGTAATTGTTTTACTTCATTTTTTTTTTTTTTATGTATATTGACATAGCATATTTCATTGGTTTGGGTCATTATTTTGCTGATTTTGGAATAACTTGTAGATCACCTCAATATTGGATGGTTTGCTCTCTGATTACCAATTTACCATGGTTTCTTTGATATATACAATGGTATTGATTTATCCTTGTATTGAAATTATTTCTCTATTGCATGTTTGATGTCTCCCTGTTCTCTTGACGTTAAAATTATAATTCGAACTTAGGTGTTAAAGTTTTATATAAATTCTCATTTTTATCTATCTGTCGCACTGTGTATGATTTGATTGCTCATTGAATAAAGCTATCCTCGTAAATTTATATTTAAAGCTTTGTTAAATATATATATATATATATATATATATATAAACACGTGTGTGTGTGTGTGTGTGTGTGTGTGTCTTTGGAATTAAATATATCAAGTTCACATTATTTTACAGTAAGCTTAAATACCATTATTTCAGCTTTTCGAATGTGAACTATATATTTTCATGTATATATATATATATATTTTTTAGGGGAACGAGCGTTGTTCGGCTCCCTACATAAAGGTTAGGAGAGGATCCCCCAAGCTAAAAAAGAAAAATAACTACAATACGCGTACATAGGGGGATTCCCCTACCACAATACAAATCACCCCAACAAAAAGAAAAAGGGCATGTCAATCAGCAGTAAAAGAAAGTATACGCCAAAACAAACTACACCTCAGAGAGCAAAAAACAAAAATCCCGAGACCAAAAATTCATGAATTACATATGCACCCAAAAACTCAATGATCTGCGCCGATTGTCTGAAGCAATATGCATCAGGGACAAATATCTTTTCATGTATATTAAAGGTGGTGTATCTGTAAAAATTGAAGTTTGGATGCTAGATCAATGAACACATTAGAATTGAGGGGTATGCATGTAAATCTTTCACATTACATAATCCTTACATATTTATACACTTAACATTTTATGTGTTGTAAGACTATACATAAAAAAAAGGTGTATTTAATTTCTAAAAGGTAAGAATAATACATTTGATATGATACTTATAAATGTGAGTTTTGTATAACTAAATATGAAAATTTGGATGTCAGATGGGTATGTACATAAGAATTGTGTGGCTTCATGTATGTAAATTTCCCCTAAATTTTTTGTAAAATCTCAAGTGTCTTGAGAGGATTTGATAATATCTTAGACTTGTTGGCGTTTTACCTATAGCAGATTTAAATACATAGCAAACAACTCTTAAGTATTTATAAATGTAACACCTAAATATTTATTTGCAAATACACCAAATCCTTATGTCTTTACATTGCTAATATTTAAACTTTAATATATATTTCAACCATCCAAATTTTTCCTACTAACTTTTCATTTATAACGCATATGTAATATATATATAAATCATGAAATCTTGAAGGTTAAATGCGTAAATGCACAAGAATTGGATAGTGTGTATATAAATATCTTGTATTTTTTATGTCATTTAAATATGAAATTCGAAGCCTTTATTTTCTTCATTGAAGTGATGCACATAATTTCAAATAATTTGATCATTTGATCCTTAATGGATGGATTTGATTGCATGAGAATACAAACATATTTTAAGTTGAGAAATTCATATACGCTATACAATTCTTATGTGTATACGTATTTAATACCTAAAGATTAAGTTATAAGCTAAATTTTGAGGTGGCTTGTGTTATAAAATTGTTTAAACACTATTTTCATTCTTCTCATTCTATGATTGGAAATATCTAAATTCTTTTAAAAAATGCATATGGTATGTCAGATTGGCCTATAAGTTGGAAAGTATGTGGATATGGGCAATGATGTATAACAAATTATTAATGCTTATATAGCTGGAATTCTTGATAATCAATAATTGATTAACGGATGCCCTT